TGTTGGAGCGACTAATGGACACCCCAGGTGAAACCATCAATAACGCGAGAAATTCTTAATTAATTGCCGCATATGGTGGCTAATTAAATGCGATACACGCCACGACGCTGGCGGCAGACATGCCTCCCGCATCGTCCTTCCGCTTTTTCTCTCTCCTCCACACGCTTCCCTCCATTCCTTTATTTTATCCCTTTCTCCTTTTCCTTCCCCTTCCCCCCCTCCCTCTCTCTCTCTCGCGCTAATATTTTTTCTCTCATCCTATCCGTGCGTGATTTAATTTTTAAAATAATTTGCCAATTTATATATAAATGCGTTTGGATAAAAACCAATAAAAATCTGTATGATTATCTTCATTTAGCCGTTGCAAAAGGGAATGAAAATATTTTCGTGCGTAATGATCATACATAATAATTAAATATTATTAACAGGAACAAAAAAGAAATATATACAAATATGTTTACAATTCCATTATTATCTAATTAAATTCTATAAATTATGTATTTATTTCTCTCTATATATTAATACGATTCTCTTTGTTTTCATAATTACAATATTCGATAAATTTAAACATTAATATGAAAGAAAGAATGCAATACAAACGTCGCACTCTGTTCATATTAAATTTCGTGAAACGTTTTCTTTTGACGTTAATAATAACGCATTTGAAATGTTGCTTTATCCAGACCTGCGTGCACCCGTTGCTACGTGCACAACGTTGCAGCTTATGCCAAGAGCGAGAACATTGGCATGCAACTTGACAGGTCACGACAGAATGTTCTTGGCATCCCAACGGCAGCAGATTGAAGCCGTGCACGAAGCAACCGTCGCTGTCATGGCCACGGGGGATCTTCTAGTATCGAATTTTTTTGTATCTTGGATTCCTTTGAACGCTATTGTTAGATATAACCTGCTGTGCACGCTAAATATTCCAAGGGGTCGACAACTATTCGAACTTGCACACAAACGCATCATAGATTTTATATTTAACTGTTTTGCTTAATCATAATAAAAAACTTTTAAATAAAATTAAACGAAAAGGCTCGAAAACGTTTAACATGTTAAGTGTCGTGTAAAATAATCACACATTTAGAAATGTACTGCATTCAATGAGAGAAAGGTAACAATTATAAATTCATAAAGAGACCCGATTAATGTAATTATCGAACTGTACATGTAAAATTACAATTATTTTCAATAATTTGTATATTTTTAATATTTTTGTAATTATTAAATAAATTATCATTTTATAATAATTTGACATTCATTATTAACATCTTTTTGCTTGACGGAAGATTAATCTTTTTTTAATAAATGCTAATCTGCTCTCTTTACTTCTATCTTATTTAATTCTTTCTCCCATAAATTTTTTTTTCTTTTTTTCAGAAAGATTCCACCTCACAGAAGATTTATATAAGGTTTTCAAATTTTCTTTATTGTCCTTTTGTAAAGCTACTCTGTTATTAAAGTTACTATTATCATTATTATCAAGTAGTTATATATGTACATGAAAATGAGCTCAACCATATTTTATTACTCGCACATCTCAGATTTCTTTCCGGTCCGATATTCATACAGGACACAGGCAGCCGCTGAACCGTTGGCATCATGGAAAATGAATCGTCGCTCGATCCTCGTCGCTCCGAGCTCTCGCATGCACCTCTCCACGCATCGATGCGTGCATTCGAAACGCCGCGCCGGAGAGACTTCTAACGCTCGACGGCGGCGAACGTTACAAGGAGAGTTACCTGGTCCCGGATGACTTGTTAATAAACCGCCGCGGTTTGGCTTGGCTTGGTATCGCGTGTCACGAAATTCCATTTGTCTGACTCATATGTGAAAGAATGCACATATCACGCGGCGAACACACGTTATTGTGCTCGAGCGCGTGCGTTTATCCATACACATGATCTACGTATACGCGAATATATTCTTTCAAGATGCCCCGGCATCGATCGTGAGACGCTCGATCGCTGTCAACGTACGAATTGTGTTCAACTATCGAATATCGGACGCGAAATCAATGTTATGACATGTATTACATTCCGTTTTATTTTAATGGTTAAAACATACAAAAACTATATTAAAAAATAAATATTAATAATAGAATGTTTTATACATAAAATTCTCAAAATTACTCAAATATCGGACACAAAATTGATTTTATGATATATGCATGTATTTCGTTCAATTTTAATTGTTAAATCCAAATATACAAAAATTAAATTAAAAAATAAATTCATATTGCATAGAATCTCCACAACTTTATCAAGTATAGTACTGTGCATGTTTACATACTCGTATAAGATAATTATTATTAATTATAATGATTATAATTGTAATTTAATGTATAGTTTGAAAAGATCAACACACGCGTATAATTATCACATATTTAAACATCTCTCGTACAAATTATCATTAGATTTGAAAGGATGATTTCGGGCTAAGGTTAAATATTTAATCATTCAAATTATAATGAAAGGCGTTATAAAGTTATAATCTTCGTAGCAGCATGACGCGCGGGTAGATCATGATAGAACCTGTCGACCGAAAAGCAATCAGTGCAATCAACACACGTACGGTAATGATTGAGCGGCTTAATAGGACCGGCGCGTGATCTTAAACACGTGTTTCGAACGCGAGTGGAAGAAGGTGAACGTACCTTTACCAACGTCGCGGATACTGTTCTTCGGCCTGCTCGTTCGAGGTTGGTACAGCAGGCCAGTTACACGTTCGCGTGCTTTCCACTCACGTGAGTGCCGCGTAATGCTTAATATTTCACTTAGGAACTTGCGCGAATCGCTTTTCACGATTATCTGCTTGTCGACCGTATTTAAAGACACGTATCGTTTTGACCGTAGAAAAATATGTGAAATCAAACAACTCGATCTGTCCTTGATAACGAGCTTTGCGAGAAGAATAACTATTGAACATAATAATTTTCTTACGTATGCAGTCTCTATACTTGCACGTGGCCACATATGTATAATGTAAGCGAGTTCCGATCTGTTATGTAATCAAGCGGCCTTTCGTGTTTGAGAAGGTAGTAACGTATGTCGGAAAAAGTCCGAAGGTAATGTACATACAATATCCCATCTGCTTCGAAACGTTTACTCCCCATTAAAACGTTTCCCGTGTCAGCAGGGAACATAATCGTACAATAAAACGGCACTTATATATTTCTATGGAACATTGCACGATATATTCGCGTGCGAAGTCTGCCTTTTATACGGACAATGTAATACGCAGAAACTAAGCTAGCTGACAAAATAAAAAAAAATATATATACATCATGTTGTGGACCGGCAACATAAAACGCCGCATTAAACCTAATTTATTCAAAACAGGCTCGTGATGAGTTAGCTCGTTTTTACGTAATATCGACTAAAATAAAAGAGAGAAGCGCAAGGAAACGCAAAGGAAATTATGAAAGGCTATTAGTCATTTACATCGTTATTCTCGTAAAGAAGTTACCCATGGTGCACGCCCTTCTCAGCGAAAGGGCTAATTAGGCGAGAGCGTACCGGAAGATTAGAGCGACCGCCCGAGTCCTCCTCTTCCTCGTCTCCACCAAGTAGTAACGGTAAATCGAGATCAGTCAACCTAACCTCCGGGCGAATCGAAGACGACGACGACGGCGACGAGCGATACGTTCGTGTTATCTCTTCATGAACATTCGTGCATTTACATTTACAACAGTGTATTATTCTCGACGCTTAAATTACCGCTTCGATGTTTGCGCGTATAGGACAAAATTTCCTCGATAGTATAATCCGCGAATGGTGGACAGGTCTAATTTACGGAAGGCAACTAATGGAATGGAATCGCAGGCATATTGGCCCGTTCGATATGTAAAATGGGCAGAACTAGCGCGATTTTACACAGCGAGCTGTAATTAATATTTAACGGTATCGTGGGTGAAGATTTGCACAATGCGAGCACGCGTTAACGAGCAATCGCGTAATCCGAATGATACAAGCAATGATATAACCCACCGTAGGCTGTCCGGTTAATGAAAAAAAGAAGAGAATAGTTGCGTTATCGTCCAATACAAAGCAACACTGGGCGCATATCGCAACGCAGGCCGGTTTTAGGTGGGTGGTGATACTCCATAATGTATAGCGCGATTTCCATATCGGCCGCCGAATGACAATAAGCGTTCCTTGAGCACCTCGCGCAAATTTCACGTCATGCTTCATCGTACCTATCTCGACAAGAAAAGTAAGTCTCAAGTGGAATAGGGAAATAATGCCCTCTGGAAATAGCGATGTATCCAAAGAAAATCTGAGAGACAACAGCACCGTTCTTGTCTGATTGTGAGATATATTATATAAGAAATGTTCCGCATAAAATTGAATGAAGCTAAAAACTGATTTGCGTAAAATCCAATTCTTCGTTTTCCCAGAGTCGAAATATCAAACGTATAAAGCCTTGTAAATGACGCGTGGTAAGTTTATAAGCTAAATTTAGATTTGCCTATATATGGTATATTCCAAGAATAAATTCGTCGTCGTGTGCAATGCAAGCAAACGCTGTTAGAAATGTTTGTGAATTTACAAACCATATAACGTTTTGCTGTGATTTCACAATATTTGTAAATTGACAATAGAAATTTGTTGTGAAATTACAAAACTGGCGTGTCGCGCATGCGTATTAGAGATTTGCATATACCTTACCACAAAATGTTATTGTAATTTCACAATATAGATATGTTTAAATTTACGGCACATTTTTGTTGGACAAAAACTTTTGCAAGTTTTCAACAGAAATTTCTTACAGTGAAGTCGATCAATGATGCGTACACACATCGAAGAAAACGCGATTTGGCGGGTAAAGAGTTAAAAGACGGATGCACCGTTACGTTTTCGTCGGCGCGAATTCGTAGAAAAACGATCGATCCTACCGTATCGATAAATCGATACCACCGACGGCGCGCAGCGTGCGTCATAAATAATTTATCTCGCAAGGCTAGCACGTTGTACAAAGGGAAGGGGTTTACTCACCATAATCGGAGCGCGATCTCGCCGCTCGGATGCAGAAGAAGGTGATCCGCCGACCGCAGCATCTGCAACGAGAAAGAAAAATCTCTTTCATCCGCGCTAATTCACCGTTAGATCAATCGGCGCGATATGCTTCCGGCACCGCGCACGCAAACGCGATGCTGATAGAGACTGAAGGGAGTGGAAAAAAAGGAACAAAAAATCAGAAAAGATCGGAAATATCGTAAATTTCAGAATGGCGAGAGCCGAGAACGTGAACGTGGTAAAACTGGAATCCCTCGTGCGAGAAAAGCTACTCCGCGCCTCCTCGTCGTCGCCGTCAATAAAATCGCAGAAAGGACGACGAGAGTTGACCTCTCCACGCAGCACGGATGAGACGACGACGACGCAAGACACCGCAGTGGACGCTACTACCCCGGGTTGTTAACGTGAGGATATTCCCGCGGGGAAATGGTCTCGCACGGCGTGCCTTCCCGCGAGTTTATCTCTACTTCAAGATCATTGAGGATCGCATAAATAAAGCGCATTTCGAGAAACGAGCGAGCTACATTTGCTACAGTCGGAGAGGAAAAAAGAATAACGTAGGGTAGCACGGGCAGAGAGTAAAAATGAGATCCAGATTCTGGCTTCAACGCCAGAATCTGGATCTTAAAACCAGTACGAAACACGTGTACCGGGAAATTCCAGTTTTACTGCAGATGTGTGTTTTTATAAAGAATATTAGAGAATATTTTCGTCAAGAAACTAGGTTAAAGAACTTGTACATAAAAACAAGTACAAAGAACTTGATGCCAGAATCCATATTTCAGTCAGAAAGTGATTTTGCTAATAAATCATCTATATTATTAATTTACCTTTATAGGATAGGAAATAGTGGGTATAATTTGAGGCAAGAAATACAATAAAATAGTGAATTATAACAAATCTCACTTAAAAGAAAAGCTATAAGATATTAAAAATACACTCTCATTCCCTAAAATTAACTATTGTTAAAAAAAAAAACAAATATTACGTTAGAAAAGAACATTACTTCTACGAGCCCTTCGGGAAGACGAAGCCTTCCCTTGTAAAACGTGCGTGTCGAACGAAACCACACCAGCCGACTTTTTTCCGGGAATCGTTCGGGAATCGTGCAGGAAATCGTAGTTCGTAGGGAAGAACCATCGCATCGGTTCCGTTCGGGCAACCGGAATTAGCGTCGTTTATTTTTCCAGTCTCGAAAATCTTAAGTTCAGAACTGCACCATGCTATCGCTCCTTCGCAGCCGCGAATTAGTACGCTATAATTTGGCCACGGCGCACATTAATCTTCTTATCGTTCGACAAGGAAATAAACCCAATCTCTGCCTCGTAAAATATGTTACTGCAATATGTATATCGCGTGAATGTATATATACATATATTATTAAATAATTTCGTTTCGCCTATACAACAATGGTAAGAAGCGTGTGAATAACGTCACTCGATATCCTAATTCAGATCTTCGTTATTATTTCTTTCGACATGTGCTAGTTTAAGATTTCCATTCGCACGATCGTTAGAGATCAGCCTTGAAGCGCTTTATAGCAGCTTCGAGTTCGAATACTTGCCGCTCTCTCTCTCCCGACAAAATCAACACGTTGAAAACACCCGGCTGCGCGTAAAATTCCACTGGCATCGCGCTAAACGTAAGTGATATACGTATAAAGAGAGGCTCTTGTGTCGTCTTGTGAGAATTACGATTTAGCTTGCGAGTAGCGTTACACGATACGATCATTATCGTCGCGGACTTTTCTAGACTATTAAACCTGCGTGACAGCGGCGTAACGTTATAAAATCAAAGGAGGATAAAGAGCGCCGTGCATGCGAGATAGGCGACGTGCATAATAGTGTCGGATGATAAGAAGATAAGAGCCTTAGAAGCGTGTATACTCGGTGTCAAGTTTTCGTATCACATGCTTAGTTGGTCTTAGATTACGACTAACGATACTTATGGGAATCGACGGACTCACACTTTCTAGACGATAGAATTAAACGCGTACGCAACAGACAGAACAATACGTACTCGACGAAATGCTTAATGAAATCTTTATGAGACGCGAAACCTTCTCTTCCATTTATACAATTAACTCTTCATGATACGAGGCTTTCAAAATCTAGATGATTTTCAATTTTGAATTATTCTATCTCAAATTTCGGATACGTACAAAAAAAATGAAATGCGTTACGGATCGTATCATTGATGTATTCTTGAATGCAGAGTATGTCAGAATTTTTTCAGATATTTTTTTTTTAGAGTTCAAAAATCCTTTGAAAAACACAGACACCAATGACCCAGAGTTGGATTAGAAAGGCGGTGAAAAAAAACGGGCCACGGAAGATGGTGTAGAATTGTATTATGACTTTACGAGACAATATACTAAAAATATAAAGTTAGTAAAAAAGATAAAAAAAAACAATTATTTCATCATTTATATAGAAGAAATTGTAACTGTAGCAAAGAGTACTTAAAAAAATGGTAAACTATTTCTCGCGTTTTGTATGCACTCAAAAAGAGGACAAGACTGCTATAAAATATTGATAAAGTTGCTTTGTGCTGCCCAAATTGAGGCGAAACGACGAGAAGGTTGATGCTTGCAGATGCATTCGAAACTCTGTCATGTAGGTCCATAAAGTCCCCGTTATTCCGGCACTTGCAGATCGCTATTATCGCCGTTGTTATTATTGCGGTGTCCAATATACGAACCGCATAACAATAACCGTCCGTGCACACAACGGCGAATAATGACTTCAATTTTAAATTAGCATACATGACTGACGGGCTGCTCATCAATCCGCTTACGGTGTCAAAGTTTACAGTAACGCGTTGGTCAACACCCGTGCTTTTATTAAAACTCCATTGAAATAATTTAATTACAGATAATGATCGCTCTCGAAATTCTGGAATTAATAAACGGCCGATAAACGCGCGCTCGCAAAAGTTTCAATCATTAATAAATGATACACGGAACGACAATTTCATGACACCAAACGTCGTTACTGCGAAAGTGGATTGACCCAAATTATAATCGATTTAACGTCGCGACTACGTTGCTTTTGCGTTACAGACTTTTCATCATTTCATACATCGTACGTGCCACTATTGTCAATGATACGCGCGAACACATATCGATCTTAGAAATATTAATACACATCATTACTAAGCAAAGCGATAATTGGACATTGTATATAAACCTACAACCCCGCATCATTCGCCTCTACGATCACGGTACACCGCGCATCTTTACCGATAAACGACAACAACGCGGCGAGTATAACGACAACAACGGTAGCGTGTAAAACGCGGGCGTGCTTATCCGTGGCGCGGGGAGATTTAATCTGACCAGCTATTATATACGTGACGTACAATAACGTCCGCTCTCGGTCTGCGCGATGCTTACAGAGCGCGAGAGCGAATAGAGACGTTCGAGCGTGCAACCGCGTTGCTACTTGCTCGTGCGATGCAAAATCGATACTTTCCCCCGGCGTCGCGCCGCGCCGTGCGCGGCCCTCGCACTGACCTATCGGGCGCATCGGGTAACTGGGTGAACCTTGTAGGAAGGCGATAATAAATTAATCATCTAGTTATCGGCGTACATGGGCGTAATGACTACTCTGCAACTACCTTGCTGCCACACATGCCGGATAAGTTTCCTCGATCGGTGGCGCGAGATTCCTACGTTCTCATCTTTCCTAGGAACACTAAGCGCAAAATAAGAGAACCCGACGGACGCGACGCGACGCGACGTTCCCTGTAATTTACATGGAAGAATTGTTTATTATTGTATATGCAGCGCCTCCATTATCATTAACGGATCCGCACGACCGGCTTAATATCGCATACGATCGGAATTATCTAATAATTGTAGCCTGTCTCTGATTTATGTGTATACACTTTTCGAAATCGCCTTAATCACGCGAGACCTCGAAATGCTCGTAACAACAACGCACTTAACAACGCATGTGTGTTCACGCACGTTCGCATTTATACGTCGTGTACGTTTTGATCGAAAAACGAGACGAGACGAGACGAGACGAGACGAGACGAGACGAGTAGTAATCCCTACGGAGAATTTTACGACGAGACGGATTTTACGCATCTCGTAGGCTTCGCCTTGTTATATGTATAGTTTCCTACGCCGCTGGACGTGAGCCATACCGTATATATACTCGTGTCCTTTTAAAGGCGCATCCACACGTGTGCCGGGCGGCAAGGCCGAAGGAAAGCATGGGGTTGTGCGTGCAACTCGGAACTGGCTATAAATAGGAGGAATACAGGCGCGATATTTCCCTTTAATCCGTAGAAATTGCGCGATATCGCGCGCGAGCCGTGAGTTCGGGGACCGGTTTCCGCTAACGCGTTTCCGAAGACACGTCTTTCCGCGCGCGCGCGCGCGCGCGTCATGTCTTTTAATGAAGAGGTTCCCACGAATATCCTAATTACCGCGCGAGATTATTATTACACGACATGTGTGTGCGTATGCCGTTAAACACTGGAATCTATTCGATCAATCGTCAAACCCCGATAAGTTGACTGTAAAATTAAACGCAAGAGCTTAGTACTCTCGACGGTGGAATAAAGTGCGAGATAAAGATGGCACACATCGCGCGATTACTTATTCCTCGATCCACTCTCAAAAGTCTCAAATGATAATTCCTTTTTTTTTTTATTAATCACGTTTCGTCACACGCCATTCGTAAACCCGATACCCATTGCACGAAACACACGATAATCCGTCCGCAATATTCGTCTTGTGGATTTACTAATTTGGAGCGAACGAGTGAAAGGGGACCGGTCAAATTATTTCCCTGATAGTTGTAACCTGTTGTTAAGTACGTGCGTTCGGCAAGAGGCCGCAGCCTTAAATCGCAAATGGTAATACGACGTTGATCGTAATGCGATATTAAGTATAATATACGATTTCCAAGTTAACGACGGTGCAGCTTGCAATCAGTCCCCAACGAGCTTAAACAAAGAAGAAGGTCGTCATGCGCGTCTGGCTGGTATCGTAAATTAAGATACGTGATTCTTTAAAGCATATAATTCT